GTATTCGGTTTTGATTTTGGGGCTTCCAGTACTGTTTCAAACTCTACAGAATCAAAAGCATTCTCGTAATCGACAAATGCAAGAACCAGTGGTATGTTGTACTCGATGCATTTTTCTATTAAGATCTTTATGTATGTAAATGGTAATTTTTCGAATGTTTTGTTTATCTGTTGTTGCCTTTTCGTCTTTATCTCTCAGCTTGTATATTTCTTTTTTACTTTGTGTGAGTGTTCTTTTCATTATCTTTAAACCTTTGTTCTCTTCTACTGTTTGAGTAATTACATTAGTATTATATCTTCTTACGTCTTTTCTAATTTCCGCCGAAATTCTTTATTTAGTTTTTTATATTCTTCTTTGTTTCCCTTTTCGTTCTCGCTTTCCTAGGTTTCTTCGTTTTTCCATGAGAGCTTTTATATCTTTGCTAATATTTTCCCTTTTGGTGTCATTTTTTTTGCAAAATTTGAGTTGTGCGTTTCTAACCAAGTCTGGTATTAATTTATTGTGATCGTTAATACTTAGAGGTTTGGGATTATTACTCTGTAAAGTTTCGGCTATATATTTTATGTATGCTTCTGGCTGATTTGGTGAATTCCAAACTATACGTTTGCAACTGTTTATCGTCTTTACTCTTTCTTTTTGTAGGTTTATCGTTACTCTAGCTCTTACTGGTCTGTGGTAGCTTCCTACTGATGGTTTATTGAGTACAGTGACATCTTGAATAATTTGCTTTTTATCTGTTATTATATAATCGTATTCGCTCTTAGTTCTTCCGTCTGGACTAGCCCACGTCCATTTTCTATTCTGTTTCTTCTTAAAAAAAGGTGTTCATTGCATACAGTTTATGTTGCATTAGAAAGTTGGTAAGCATTTCATCAGCAATTTCATCTTCGTAATCGCTGGTGGGGTCGTATACTTTCAGATTATTTTCAGATTGTATCTCTTATTTAGTTTTAGATTCATATACATAATTCTTGGGGAAATGCAGTTAATGCTCTGTATATTTTTCTGTAATTTTTTGCGTACTAATAAACCTAAGTGGAATATGTTTTATTCTGATTTTAGTTTCACCTGATCATCTCTTCTTTTGACTTCTCTAATTCCTATAATATCTCATTTCACATGTTTGAGTTCTTCGCCCAGTTCCGTCATTTTTTCATCATTAGATAAAGTTCTTACATTATACGTAATTATGTGTAGCGTTCGTCGTTCTTGGTAGCCTCCTATAACCCGGGGATTCTTCTCACCCTCTGCCCGCTGTCCGTGAGTCCTACCGCTACCTTGGTTGGGAACTAGCGAGCTGTCGGGGACTGAGGGCCTTCTTGAATGTCTGTTTATGCTGAGGGGATTTTGGCATTTAAACACCACGCTTGCCAGGTGGGTTGGTGAGTTGGTTTGGAAAATTGGTAGGATAGTAGGTATTGGGTAGGAATGGGGATAGGACATGATTTCTCACCACAGGAATTGAGACAGAGTCAATTCTCGCGTAGGGCAGCAGGCAGCAACTAGCCTAGGACAGGGAAGGATGGAGGGAAATCGTGAAAAAACTGTAAAGGCCTGATGGTGTCACCACATCCCAAAAGGGATTAGGACTGAGGAGGAATGCCATTATGCTATCATGGCAACCTTCTTTATCTAGTTCAGCTGGGAGATTATCTATTCCGGGTAATTTGTTTCTGGCTAATTTTTTAACTGCGTTTTTAACTTCAAGAATAGTTGGTGGTTCCTCTCCTTCTCGTCTGTTCCCCTTACCTCATCTCTTTCGTCTTCCAGGTTTTCTTCTTCTATACTATATAATGGATGTCTCCGGTGAACGGTGTGTTCACGTTGTTTTTTCGACCAACCATAAATAAAGTATAATTCCACTTTATATCAAATCACAAGTCGTTTCGACTCGAAGACGTAATTCTGAATAATACTACGACATTATGAGCTTACATCCAACTAATAAATACGGAATATGGATTGCCTAACTCTTAGTGATTATACATTTGTAATATTTATGTTTGGTACCTTTTGAAGGAATTACAGAAGGTGATGGAAAAAAATATTTAACAGTATCCTTAAGAAAGAATAATTTTTAATATAATTTAATTTAATAGTATTTAGTGACATTTAGTCCTTAGAATTTAGAAACTGAGTGCTTCCTGAGTATCTTGCAATTTTATTTTTGCTTCTAATTGATGATTTGTTTGCGGATCATTTATTGCTATACGAAAGAAGAGTGGCTTCTTTAAGAGCGTCATTAGCAGATCTTACCCGCTTAAAAAGTTAAAAGAATGTAATAAAAAAGTACATTTTAAAATTTTTAGGACACCTTATAATAAACTTAAAATCAATCGACTCGTATTCCTAAGAAAACACACATAAAACAAACTCTCCATAAAAAGTGTCGTAACAAAGCTTTTAAACCACTCCCCGAAGTTTCATCCCTTTATAGACCATCAATTTAAAAAGAAAAATTGCCACGAAACAAAAACAAAGCGCGTCAATCTGCTCGCCACTTTTTACAAACCCCATAAAAACGACAACTAAGGGTTTCGCGTAATACACAAATCACGGCGAAACGCACGACGCAACGTCAAGTTGGTCGTTCCTTCCCGCAGGGTGGCAAAAACATGCTCGATGACGCGCGGTTGGCGACGAATGAATGAACAGTTGACTAACGTAACCCCTTCTGCTCTCCTCTCCGTCCGCCTTATCAAGGGACGTCATAACAAAAGATAAATCGGCTTTGTCGACCGTTTGGGTGTAATTTCCACTTCCAAAACATGTGATTTGGACTCAATTGATTTGAAAATGGGTCATCAAATTATAAGGGCCACCTCTTAATATTGAATTGTTACAGCTACAAAATATAGATTCTTTGTTTATATAGATATTATTATCCTATAATCCTTTCACTGCGGGAACCTTAAAAATTGATGCCTGTCCCTTGCACGTTAAATCCACGAATGCGAGTATACTATACATACTCGTTATAAGCAGTTAAATAGTTGACACTCCGTCAATCATGCTCGTCTGGAGCAGCGCACCCGCACCGTACAGGTGCGTACAGGTTCTGCGGATGCACCAGCCGAACAGTTTTATTTTCAATTTCTAGTTCAGATTTTGTCGGATATCTGATTATGAAATAAGAGTTAACAAAGTGACAGACAGTTTTTATTGATAGTACAGAACAAAATTCGAAAAGAAATAAGAAACCACTTATCATTCTTACACAGCTATAAAGATAATGTCAATTTTTGTAAATCATTTGAATCAAAAGTCTTTTTTGCTGGTAAATACCAACAAGACACAACACAAAGTGCTACATGACAGACGGAGCACATATATCTTGATTCTGCGCGTTTTTTATTTTTGTCACATCACATACAACGCACCTCTTAGTCGAATTTTTTTATAGGTTGTCGGTAGAACTACATCAGGAAAATGTCTTTCTTGAGCCTCAAATCACATTCAGCTCCACATCTTCTGCCTCCTCCCATGCGGGAAGGTGGAACATGATATTTAGCTATAATTTCTTCTACTAATCTGAGTTGGAATTTGGCTATTTTCGCCAGTTTTAGCTTTATAAAGCTGATAACAGTTTAATACAGCCAGATCCAACAATTGGAAAAACACCTTCTTGTACCATTTAATGGTTTTCTTTAACACGTTCTATCGATGAAAATAGCATGTCGCATTTGTCGACGGATCCCATATTATTATTATATTCAATGATACAATGTGTTTTTGATAATGTCTCCTGTAAGATAATCTACACATTTCGTATTTTTAGTTACGCAGTGTAACAGCTAGTGAGCATGCAAACTTCACGTTTATCTTGCCATTTCAGCATGAGAAGTTTATCTGTAGATCTGGGCACAACTTCACCACGTTTAAGTTTTCTGTCAATTCAATTTCAGAAAATTTTCTGTCATTTTGACATAATTTTCTGTTTGACTTTACTCTTCAACAGGTATTCGTTTTTAGATCGTGAAGGTGTAAGAATAACATAGGACTTGAGTACCAGTTATCTACAAATAAGCTATGCCCCTTGTTCAAGTAAGGCTTCAAAAGTGACATAACAATGTCACCAGATTTTCCCAGTTTTTCAATTTCATATTCTTCAATATCAGATGTGGCTCCCGTGTATATGATAAGTTGAGAATATAGCTGGTTTCACAATCACAAAGGAGAAAAAATTTAACTCCAAACCGATGTCTTTTTGAAGGAATGTACTGTTTGAAAAAAGTCTGCCTTTATATAATAACAGACTTTCATCTCTGCAAAGATTTTGAAACAGACTGAAATTTTCTCTAAATTTGGATTTCAAATGATCGACTATAATCCTTATTTTACGTAAACTATCTCTTTTGACAGGCTCTTCATCATTATCAACAAAACGCATCATCCGCAAAATTAGTAGAAAGCGATCTCTTGTCATGAGGCGCCCAAAAATTGGAGTATTCATAAAAGGTTTACTTACTAGTCCAATAAATCATTGACATTCGATTTGTTCGTCTGGGGCATCAACAGATTGATTGCTAAAACGCAGTATATTTCATTTATATTAACTGATTTCCATCGTTGTAGACGTGAATTCGCATCAACCTATTGTCTATTTCTTGTTCATAGTATCGGTTTGTCTCATCTGCAATTTTTTCATTATTTAGGGCGTAAAAAAGCTTTCAAAAAAATCTAGGGCATGTGGCGTATCTGATAAACTACCAATTTTACATCCAGAATTAGTATTATCAAAAAGGTGTATGACCGGTAAAAACGTTTCATCTTTGCAAACAAATGCCGCAGCATTCATAGTTGTTGTTAACTGTTCGGCTGGTGTATTGTTTAATTCATCTCCAGTTTCGTTTTCTGCATCATCTTTAGCGTCGTTTTCAGCAACCTTTTGTGATTTTTCGCCGAGCGTTGATGCTAGGAAGAATGATAAAACAACACACACACACGTTTTGAGATCAACGTGCAGTACAAAAAGCCTAATAAATATATATTTAGTATACCTTCTGCATCTTCTTCATCGCTTTTTGGCCATCCACCGTCACTCTCATAATCGTTCATAAAATCATCTTCAAAATAACTTTCTTCTAGCATACGCGCGAGATCTGCATCAGTAAGATATTTCCGACTCATTTTCGCGACGGGTAAAACAATACTGATTCGAGTTCAAATCGCAACAAGCAAATATTTGTATAGTGCTTATGGATTAACTCGTCTAGAGCAGTCTGAGCGTATGTACTGTCAATGTGCGCGGACAGATACGGAACGCAAGATTCGACTTGTCTATGAGCAGGTGACGTCATATATCGAATAACAAAGCTCTACTGCATATTGAATCAGTTCTTATGATTTACACGAGTTTACTCGTCAAGAGCAGTCCGTCTATAAGCGAGTATACTCGTCAAGAGCAGTGATGGAGTTTTCTCCGATTTCCACCAATTGTTGTGGGGAAAGCTTATTAAATTCCTTTCCCCGTGCGTGTACAGTTCCAAATATTTTAGGACCATGGACTGTACAAGAGTGTTTCCTTCGATATATACAAGCAGAACTTCACGGCGCTGGTTCTTTATGTGTTTGATTTAATAGGGGTTGTACTTAGAGAAAAATAAGCGTAATTAATTGAATCTACACATTTAATAACAAGAGAATATTTACACAAGCACTAATACTAACGAAAGAGTTAACATTGTCCATTATTCTATCGGCGTTTAGGGGCGCGCGAGCTATCGCGAAAACAAATACACATTTCACTGCATTTTGGCGGCGAAGAGAGAGCTTAGGTACCGGCTACGAGTACCGTACAGCTTGAGACACTAGTCACATCTGCGAGAGATTTTGAATTGAATCTTTACCTAAATTTTGCCGACAAGGCGGCGTCGGTTTTACCACTTTAAACAACCCTTATAAGCTATTTATGGCACAAATATTCTGCAGACAAAAGTACAGTCTGTAACATAAATTTCAAACCAATATTTGTAAGAACTAAAAATTATACTAAAATTAATATAAAATGTTGTTTTTACAACAAGCAGTAAAAGGTTTAAGTTGACAAGCTCACAATTGCTCGGAATTGATCGCCAATACTATTTACTGCATCACGAAGGCGTTGTTTCCAAATCCCTTTTTCAAAACTTTAGACTTCTTTTATAGACAAATTTTACTTATTTCCATTACATCCCGTATTTGTATATTTTTTCATGGTTTTCCTTCACATAATTTTATTATTTAGAATTTTGTAGAGAACAAGATTATTTTGTTGGAAGATCGTATACAGATGCAGTATTCGTCATAAAACATATTGCCAACAGTATAATAGCTGAGAGACAGAAAGAAGAGCAAATACATCAGAAGAAAATGTACCATAGACGAGAAGAATTTCTGTCAGGTTGGTGTTTTGAGCCACGATTAGCTTACCGCGAGATATGGCTGCTATAAAATATCATTTTACCAATTTAAAATAATATACGCCGACAATATTCATAGAATTATTTATTGCTTACTATACGTGTTTACAGAGTTTAGTTTCGGGTGCTACTAAGTACAAAAATACATTAAAGCCACAAAACTGCATAACAGCAGTCCCTAGTGGAGGGCAGGTCGTTTCTAAAAACTATAAAATTTTACCTTGGGGAAAAACTTAAATTATAAAAAACCGTTCATATTGTCCTCAGACTTTTCAGTCCTTCTAAATATTTTAATTTTTAAGGATTATAATAGACAAACGAAGGATTTTAATAGACAAATGTTCCCCAGAACTATGTAAGAATGTATTTTAATCTTTAAAGAGATTTCTGGAAACCAATTTACATAAACTTAAAGAATTACTGATATGGAGGATACTTAACTATAAGAATACGGAACAGTTGGGTTAATAAGGTACTCATCTGTTTTTCTTTCTTCGATGATCAGCTGTTATGAAATCTACACCCCTGATTATTACACCGGTTTTGCAAATCCTGCAAGTATGTTTATTAAATAGCCTTCTAGCTTTTTAATAAACCCAGAGTTTATCCTAGTTTTATCTATTGTGGTATAGTTTTGTGACTATTAACATTAAAAAATGAAGTTTGCCACTTGACAGTATTGACTGGGGACCGAGTGATTGCCGGTATAAGTAATCTCTCACTTACTGACCAATGGCTACTGGCGGATGAGTTGGTAAGTGATAGTTGGGAAATCGACTCCAAAGGCGGATGAACCAAAGAAGTGGTCAACGGCAGAAGGATGTGGAAGGCAACGAGAAACCACTACATTAAAGATCTTTAAATAGATATCTCTCGTCAATTATCATGGCTATTATAAATGACAATTTCCAATTACCAAGATCCGGCAGGGGAGGCAATTCTCAGTTAGAACCTAGAACCCTGCGTCAGGCAGAAAAATATAAACCAACTGCAGATAGGTACCTGGAATGTGAAGTCTATATATGAAGCAGGGAACATCCACAATGTAATACATGAGATGAGCGAGTCAATATAATGGGACTAAGCGAGACCAGATGGCCTAGATCTGGAGAAATCAAAGTCGACGGTGCCAAAATATACTACTCGAGAAATTAAGATATTCACCACTATAATGGCGTTGCGATAGTGATTGATCGCAGTTTTTGCCAGGCTGTAACTGGTTTTGTTACTATAGCGGATAAAATATTAATGACCACAGCCCAAACAGCGCATAGAACTCTTAATATCATACAGGTGTTCGCACCCACTGCAGATAAAGAATAAAATAGAAGAATTCTACAATGACATTAAAAAAGCACTAGATCTCACCAATAATAGAGGGGATGTATGGATGCGAACCAAGCACTCTGTTTGTTTTATTGATTGCAATAAGGCGTTTGATAAGGTCCTACACAACCGTCTTATACAGTTACTTAAAGATAACCACATTGACAAAAAAGACTTAAGAATAATATCTCATCTCTACTTTAACCAAACAGCATAAGTCAGAGTAGTCAATAAACTTTCGGAGGAAGTAGAGATAAAAAGCGGCGTAAGGCAAGGTTGCATACTCTCCCCCTTATTGTTCGATCTATATTCGGAAGAAATAATTAAAAAATCACTCGAAAATGTAACAATTGGAATAAAAGTCAACCGCAGACCCATCAACAATATCTGATATGCCGATGATACTATACTAATTGCAGAGAATATACAAGATCTACAGACACTCTTAGATAATGTAGTAAATGCTAGTAAAGAAAGCAGACTAACGCTTAATGCTAACAAAACAAAATTTATGATAATTTTGCAACAAAAGCTAGAGCAACATTTAATAAGGTGAGGAAAAGTATTATGCAGTAGAGACCTTAGTTTGCAGCTCAAAATAAGAATATTACGTTCATACGTGTTTTCGGTGTTGCTGTATGGGGTAGAGGCCTGGACCTTAAAGAAAGAGGTAAGCGTTCGACTTGAAGCATTCGAGATGTGGACCTACCGAAGAATATTAAAAATAAGTTGGGTAGACCGAATATCAAATGTTGAGGTCCTCAGAAATATGACAAAGAAAATGGAAATCATGAATACGATTAAGAAAAGAAAGTCACAATATTTCGGCCACGTTATGAGAGGGGATAAATATGTGTTGCTACAAACCATAATGCAGGGAAAAATACAGGAAAAACAAAGTATTGGAAGAAGACGCATCTGCTCAACAATCTGAGAAAGTGGTATAATTGCAGTTCCGTCGACTTCTTCAGAGCTGCAATCTCAAAAGTGAAAATAGCTGTGATGATTACCAACCTCCTCAGAGGAGACGGTACCTAAAGAAATTGGCAACGGTATATTTAGTAGCATTTTATTGCTAACTCATTCTAGTGAGTCGGAGATTCGCACAAAAGAGTCGATGTTGTAATCCCAAAATCAAATTAAAAGTCCATCTCTTTTCTTTTTAACCAAACAAAACATTATTCAACCAATAATGCAATCGTAGCAATATATGTTAGCATGAATAATGTATTGTAGCTGTAATTATCCTCCCTTTCCTTTGATTCCCATTCTACTGTTGGCGCAATCGTCACCGGTAAACAACAATATATGTATTTTAAACGCACTTGTTACCAAACGCAACTGTCGCTAAAGTTTTAATCAAGGAAATTAGCATAAAATTAAAAAGTAGAGGGATGTCGTAACCTCGTTAGAGAGGGAAAACAATCCTTTGACAACTTGGGAATATATTATATGTACGTAGTAGAGGTGCGGCAAACCGTTAAATTTCTAGAAACTATTCTGTAAAGTGATTCAAATTAGTAAATTGGATTTATTTGTGATTTCTTAACATTTGTGTTTTCCATTGCAATTATCAACGACTTTCCTCATTCTCATCATTTTTAGAGGCTCAGGAATGTGTAATTTAACTACCAGAAACAACTTACAAATGTCGGAATAAAAGACAAACTAAAACAAAAAGCTTGATTAGTATTCTTCGGCGCGAATAACAAAAAGTTTTAACAAAATGTTGTCGTTGATTAGATGAACAAAAGTCTTGTGCAACGGCGGACTTTGCCTATAGTCCGTTTGATAATAATTGATAGCACAGCTCAAAACCAAAAATGTAATTTTTATTACAATTGATTGTGTCCGATTTGTAAAATATTCAATTATTTTTTATTTCTGTTTAAACATCAACAAAATAAATAATTAAATTTGAAACATTTCATGGTATTGGTATTTTTTTATGATTCGGTTACGTTAGAGTCGGAATCCGTTATATATTTATGGTTCGGATAAAAATTTATTGTAGTTCCCGTGGAAATATTGGAACTATTTCAACAGATAACTCTCCCACTATCTTTACGGTCTAAATTGATATAACTCCTTCGGATGATAAAACTTTGATTGACCGATTCCGTTCTCCAAGTCCGGGTCTGTTCGAGGATCGGATTAAGAAATTTATTACAGTTCGCCAATGAAACAAGAACCATTTTATATTTAATGCGTTATTCGAATGCATCAAAAATTATAATCCCAGATTATGAAATTCATCGACATAAATTATTCCAATTCTATAAATAACCAGATCTAACGTTCAACTGTTATTGTATAGCACGAGCAGATAGGTACGATTTTATTTATCGTGTTTTAACGTTAATTGTTCTATTTATTTAATTAAATTGCCTATTTCATTTCATG